TGAAGACGGTGGTCCCCGCGGGTGCGACGGAACCAAGAAGCAGCGATCGAAATGCGATGAGTTTTCAATGGCGTAATTTCGCGTAATTAAGGCGAATCTAATTGACACCGTACAGTGACCAACCTCGTGTGATGACCTTCTCCACTTCCACCACGTTGAGATCCACCAAGTCGCTGCTGCCTCATCCGGTGACGCATTAATAGACCGCTGAGTAACCTGAGTTCGCTGGGAAAAGCAGCTACAGTAGCACTGAGACCCAGAATGTATGGATAACTATTCGACGAGAGCCATATCGGAACAGGAACAAACGCGTGTGTCAGCGCATCATAAGATTTCAGCCATGGAAGATACGGCCAAAGAGCCAAGTTCAAGGGTGGGCGTCCATATATAATCTCCTATTAGATATCTTCACTGACGATAGCTTACGAAAGGGCAAGGAGAGAAAAAGCATCCCCGACAATACCGTGAGGCATAGCAACAATATCTGTGACATTTTTTTATCAAGACCAAGAAACCGCAAATCATGTTAGTCTATAATCACACCAGGCTCCGCCCTCTACTGGACTCAATGGGTACTAACTCTCCATCATGCTATGCAGGCATTCACCTACTGAGTTGCATAAACTTAGCCGGCCAATCGGGGTGAGCCTACCTGAACGCGCGCAGGTCCACAGTATATAAGGCGGCTAATGCCTCCCGAGTGTCATCCTTTTTCTCTTAAGCGAGCAGCAACAACAGAAGCTAAACGTAAAAGAAGATAAAGAGATAGGAAAATAATATGGACTCACCACTCCTTGAACCTTGGCCTTGCCCTACATACCATGGCTTAATTATGGGCGCTAATCCCCACCGTTTGTGCTTTGAGTGTTTGGGGCCCGATCACGCTGTGGAGGGCATCAAACATTCTCCGTCCTGCAGTGCATGTCGTGCGCTCCCGCGGCTCAGATACCAACAGCATTATGCCTCGCCGGATGAGGCGCAGGACCAGGAGGAGCTCGAGGTGGTGGAAATGGAGGATCAAGAGGTGGTCGAGGAGGTGCCATTTGTGTTCGCCATTCCGGGGGAAAGACAAGGACTTCTCGATGTCGGGTGCTTCTGGGTCCGGCGTCCACGAGGGTCCACCGCTCAGGTCAGCCCGTCAGGATTTCCCGTTGGTGATGGCCATGGCGGCGGAGCGTGTGGGTCTACCGCTCCCCCCTCTGCTACCACCCAAACCAGTGAGCCGCCTCCGTCAGGGGTTTTATGGCCCGGTTCAGCCAACCCAGCTGGCCTTTGTGTCGCCCCCCGTTGCCGGATATCTGGCAGTGTGTGGAGGCAACGTGGCGGCACCCTCTCAAAATGAGGGCTCCGGTGGCTGGCATGGCGGGATTGCTCAGGGTGCAGGGCCACACGGACAAAGCGTGTCCCGGTGTGCCCCCCCTCTCGATGAGAGCCTGGCGGCCCATCTGCTCCCACAGGCAGAAGGTTGGGCGGAGGGGAAAAGACCCCTGCCCCCGCTGCCTCGTGACCGTGAAACGCTGGAATATCTTGATAAATATTCCGGCTCAGGGTACAGCTGGCGGCGGGGGCCAATAATCTGGGCGTGTTAGGGGTCTCGCTGATCACTACTCAGCAGGAAGCCCCCCGTATCCACGGCTCTTCCGTTGTTAGGAGACACACCGCGTAAAACCCCAGATTAATGCTTTTTTCCCTCTGGGTGGAAACTGCATTATGGGGGAGCGCGCGCTCCCACAAGAAAAACGGCCCTTTCTGTGTCAGCCCCCCACGGGCCAAACTTCCTTTTATGGAGGGTTTGGCGACGGAGTGGGCCACCAGAGAATACTACAGTTTCTTAGCTGCAGCTCCACAGCTGATTGCATGTCCCCTAACGCAGTGTTACGGGGAATGGAAGCTCAGCTGTGTACTGACAGAGTGGATGGACAGGACACAGAGACTGGGTTATTCACTCCAGTTTTGCAGCATCCCTCCTCCATTCAGGGGCATAAGGTGTGCATCGGGAGGCGTAGCCGCCTCATATACTGTGGGCCTGTGCGCGCATTCAGGTAGGCTCGCCCTGATTGGCCGGCTACGTTTATGCAACTCAGTAGGTGAATGCCCGCATAGCATGATAGAGAGTAATAACCATAGAGTCCAGTAGAGCGCTCCGCCTGTGCTTATATAACTAGGGTTACAATACGTAACTCCCCGTTATGGTGCTTATTCATAATTTCCCTAGTGGTGGGCCATCAGACCTTCTCTGCTGACCTAAACACTATCAGAATCACTGACTAAAGTTTTTATATTTTAATATTTGAAAGTGTTTTCATTAAAATGCATAGAATTATTTCCAATAGTCTCTTTTTCTTCAGTTGATAGCTTTCCTCCCTGTTGCGCTCGGTTGCGCTGCGTCCAGTAATGGTTGTTTATGTTGGAGCTTTTATCCAATCATATTTAGTCCGAATGTTTTGCTCTGTCAAATAAATCTGCCTTGAGGCCTTCAGAATCAACAGTGCATGCGCTTGTAGCTTAAAATAAATGACAGTGAAACGGTTGCAATGACCAATCAGATTTCAAGTAGGCGACCCCGGGGCCATCTAGCAGGCTAACGATGACATCTGATTTTCACGTCATATGATGAGATTGTGATATTGATAGGAGCACTGCAACTGTATTGCTGATCCACTTGGTGTTTGGAACCATTTAAGTTTGCAAACTTGAGTTGTCTAACCAAAACAGCAATAAGACACCAAAGCGTAAACTTACAATCAACTGTTCTTTTGAAACCTGTTTGGGAAACCCGAGTGGATCTACAGCTTAACGAACAAGTGAGAAAAGGAGCTCCACAATGGTTTTTGCCAGAAATACATGGATACATGGATTTTGTGTACAAATGATCAAACATATACATGGTTAGTATACTATAATGACTTTAATTTAGATTTTTTATGTTTTGGATATTTTATTAAGTAAATATTAATGCTTCTGCTACAGTGTTATTTGGTTTTCCTGCTCTAGTAATGGCATTCATTCTCGCTACATTCTGTCTGTGATGTCACGCCCTGTTCTACTGCGTTTCTGTATAATATTAATGGTTTATATATGTATATATATACTTGTGCTTTATAATAATAACTCATTCAGTTTGTGATGTATTTATTTTTGTTGACAATTAAGCATTTTATAATTGAATTAGTTGTGTATTTGGTTTATGCAAAAACAAATCAACCATAAAAAACGATGTAGGTTAAGATAGGAGTTGAGCTAGGATTTAGCAATAAAGCACAATGAGACACAATTTTTTTTTTTCATTTACTTCGCAACAGCAATAGCAAATTGTGACAGACCTGTAAAATGTCATTTGAGTCATTGCTATAATCATCATAAATAGAGAACATCTGTGAGAACATTGGGAATATCTACTGGCAACACAAAATGTAGCCTACATTACTTCCCTCCTTGTTTGCAAGGAATTTGGATTGCCATTTATATACTGTATATATATATATATAAAACTTCTTAAAGCTGCATTCATCAATTATTCTCCTAGTGGGCAAAGATAAGCCACAATAGACTAGCTGATGTACAGCGACCACCGATTACACTGGTTTACAGTGTAATCTTACACTTACAGATTACAAAACTGAGTTGTCTACTAATGCTAATGGTAGCCAGCTTTATCTGTGCACCTTTTGCTGCTAGAATAGTGGCATTCATTTGTTTATTTAAGATTTGTTAGCTGAAAACAGCTAGAAGCTGCATACATGTGGTTGAAAAGATCTGTGGGACTGAACCATACAGTACAAAAAGTGTACAGTTGTGAAACAAAAATCATCAGTTTATCAGGAGCTAAAAGTGTACAACTGTATAGGGTGATAACTTTAATTTTTCAGCCACTTTTTCATTTCACAGAGGAATTTTGCCAATCAAATAAAACTGATCAATGCAGGTCAAGTTCCATAAAGTTCCAATAATATTTTTTTTTCATATTTAACAAGTTTCATTGCCGCTGAGTAGCCAGTCGTCCTCATGATGGTCTCATGTCAGTATGCTAACTGTATCAAGGCATCACGTCAAGTCATTTGGTACAGATACATTGGTTCTTAAAGAAATCAAAATCTTACATAAAACAAACTGGCAAAACATGATTGAAACACACTGAGTACATTTCAAACAGACAGCATAGAGAAAATATCAGTGTCTTGACAAATATAATACTCAACAAACATGCACCACAAAGTAGAAGACATGTTAACACACTACAACGGTGAAGTGTTTATCTTTGCGACAGTATTTAGCTAATATATTGCTGTTAAACTTGCGATTATGATGGCAAGACTCATTGCCGTTGTTCATGGCTGCTCAGCTAAGCCACTCTTGTGCTAGGATATTTATTGGTACATTGTATCATCGCAGTGCCAATAGAGAGCATAATACAGACAATGAACTGCAATTTTTGTGTATGTACACGTGTGTGATGTATATACATATATAAATAATCTAGAAAATTGTTGATGGAATAATTGTTGGTTGCAGCTATAGCCTCACTTAGTGACCTATAAATAAAAATAGATATGGATGGATCAATAGAAGGGTGCAGACAGACAGCAAACAACCAAACTGTTTTGTTTGATAACACTTGTGTGTCTCTTTTAAGAACCAAATCCCATAATTTCCCAGCTATGAACTGTCTGTGAAATGTCATCTTGACATTCAGAGGCTTTTATCTGGCCGGAAAAAAAGATTACGGTTTTGTACCTAATTTGATCTTCAATTAAAGGGAAATTTCACAGATGAAACAAATATCTGGGACACAATCAGGGTCGCGGCACCCAGCAATTTAGTCTAATTATATAATTTAGATGAGATTACCTAAGGAAACAAGCTCTAGATGAGAGTGTAAGGAACTACCTGGAAGTGTGTGTGTGTGTGTGTGTGTGTGTGTGTGTGTGTGTGTGTGTGTGTGTGTGTGTGTGTGTGTGTGTGTGTGTGTGTGTGTGTGTGTGTGTGTGTGTGTATTTATGTATGTTGATCCCCTTCATAAATGTATTGTTCTCTTATATCTACAATAGAGGCAACAGGAGATGTGAAGCTTTGAACCAAGCTCTAAACTGAAGTAAAAGTATCCACATTTAGAAGAGTGCTGCCCCGTCCTCTTGTCGTGCAGAGATGAGTGAAGATGCCAAGATGAGTATATAAAAACAACACTTTCTCTGCAGGCCCCATCACAGGGCTTCAAAGGAGAATGCAAGGACGAGATGAAAGGCTGGATGCACTGTGGTTTCTAAGAGCTGGCTAGCCCTCTACTTAAAGATGTCAAGGTTTGCGTGTTCAGCAGATTATTTTTATCATTGGGATATAACAGTTGAATCAAGTACCCTCTAATGTGGCAAACTAGCAGGTGTGCAAAGAGGTCAATAGAACATCTAAGATAGTTTCAATAAGCGGACGGAGCATCTGGCAAGCAAATATTTACAAGATAGATGGCTGGTAAATCTCTGAGCATTTCTGCCTGTAGAGTTCCTTCTGGCCACCTCATTTAAAAATCAAAAACTGAATAATCGAAAAACATGCTAGTGTTTGGTATCCGTTCCGAATTGTAAGCAAACTTCTTTTTTTTAAAGTGCAAGAAGAATCATCAACCGTGGAAACCCTTTAAGAGTTGACAATTGTTAATACTGCATCCTCCATCTCCCTAACATCTGAAAACAGTTCTGTCTTTGTCCCCGTTTTTAAATCACACTGAATCTAGATCACAGAAGTTATTATTATTATTATGGATTTTGGGTGTAGGAGAACACATATAGGTATGAGGGTTTCTTTACATTGGACACACTTTGTTCTCTGCGATCGGCAGCTGGACTAATGAGCCACAGTCGGTGGGAGAATCATCAGATCCGTTGCCCCCCACGGGGATGCGAGTTGCAATGGCCGACATTTCTCCTGTTTGACTGTCTGCAGTAATCCCAGGTCGCTCTGAGGTCGGGTTCAGGTGGCTGTCTGGGATAGTCCCTTTGCCACAGAAGAGCTGCATGAGGCACTTCCTGAACTGGACAGAAAACAAGAGAATTAGGAGCAATCAGCTAAGGTAATAATTTGCACATACATTGTTTTAGGGGTTATGTTCACGTACATGAAACATGTCTGTAAAAGAATAATGCAAGATTTCGGGAAAAACTCTAATGACAAAACATTCAGATTATAGTTTAGCATCATTTGGAGGCAGGGGGAAAAGCTAGCCAGCATTGAGGTAGGAGGAAAGCTAGCTCTCTCTTGAAAATACAACTACCAACACTTACTCTAGGGATCAATTATTAACAAACAGAAAAAATAAGAGATGGAAGTGGCAAGGCCTGTCAAAAGCTGTTCTTCACATAGCCCTTTTCAACCAGTCCTCACTAATAGCCCCAGAATCATTGGTTTCCACTTAGCTTTACATTTAAAACACTCATTGAGCGTTTTTCAGAGTGGACCTCACACCCTCATGCCCCAGGGAGAACTCGTGATTCCTGACCCTTAATGACCTGTCTAATTTAACACGCAAGCCTCCTAACTGCTCCCCTCAAATCAGTAATGCTTTCAAAGAGTGGCAGTAAAACCTCTGATCTCATGAAAAAAGCTACAATGTGTATGGCTTTGTTCACTCTGGGAGCTGTTAAACCGCTTACACCAAGCACTTCTGCTGGTCTGCTAGCCGTCACCACCCCACGCCTCGTCACCATGGGTGCTCAGGCTTTTAGCTGCACTGCTCCCAGACTCTGGAACTCCCTCCCCTCGCACATCCGACAGTCAGACACAATCACCATATTCAAATCCCAATTAAGAACCCACCTGTTAAAATCTGCCTACTCACTGTAGTGCTCCCCATTATATGTTTCATTTGTGTCCACTTGATTGTCTCCTCCATGATTTCCTGTTTGTGTTTTTATCATGTTCTGTTGCCTATTAGCTTTTTATTTTTTAACAAATTGTACGGTGTCCTTTGGTGTCATGAAAGGCGCCTAAAATAAAATGTATTATTATTATTATTATTGTATAAATCCCACCAACATTGAAAAATATAGCTTTTAATACACTACCATTGAGGGAATATGGTCATTATATGTCACCCCAAAGGCAACAGGAATAACAGGAAACACACAATAATTTACTCTGCAACAGTTTAAAGCTGATTCTAGATTGTCACAGGAATGGCGACACCAGTTTCAATCATACCTATTATGCCTGCATTATTTACTTAATCACTGCTATGCTGACCACATCATCATACCTAAACAGCAGAATAGGTGGTTAGCGATGACTCTCAAATTGGCATATAACAGTTTGAGCTAAAATGGGAAAAGGGTAGCAGGGTGGCAGTTTTAAACATGTGACCATTGTATTCTAAGTTTAGAATTGTTTTTACTTGGATAGGTTAGAATAGGATCAGGGTTTGGGCTTTAAAATAGTACGTTTGATACTTACTTTAGCACTTACTGTAGTCACGTAGAGTGTGACCTATTTACGTACAAACTTTTCTACTTTCTCCATTGATTCAGACATAACAACTACCGCCACTAGAGGTTTCTGTCTAACAAAAACATAGGTACGGGCCGTAATACGCTACTTGAACAGTAATCTATATGCCTGTGGCTGTTTTTTTCCGCGTTTTTTTGGGTGATGATAGCTTGGTAGCCCCCAGTGTTGGGAATGTACTTTTGTTCTGGGCATGGGCAAGTGTGAGCTCAGATGATACTCAGAATGATACTCTGCAATTTTGTCCAAATCCTTTCCCTATGCAACCTTAAGTTGACCTTCATTTTTTTTTATCTTTGACTAAAGCATGAAAAGATTAAAAGAGAATGCTGGGGAAAAAGCTTTTACTACGAAAAATAGGCCAGCCGTCGTTAGCACAGCATATGAAATGTACAGCAGAGTGGCACAGTCTGTGGAAACATTGAATTAAACCTTGGGTTACTGTCGGGCACTACATTCCTGTGGGATCATGCACATACTGTTGATGCTGCAACCTGCTGCTGGGTGAAAGTGATGACAAATATTTGGTATCAATTCTGCCTTCACATGATACGCGATTTGCTCTCTGCTCACTGTGAGGCGGGCGCAGATCTAGTTAGTTTTGTTTCTATGGTTACCTCCTTTACTAGCTTGTGCCGGCTTATGCTGTTATCTAAATGGTTGTGCGACGGAAGGTCAGCTCCAATCGATTTCAGAATTTAAATAATTTGGACTTTGAGCATAGCGATCAGCAACCATTTTTAGTAACATTTAATTTGTTTTGATTGAGGCAGAAAACTAAATATTGTACGATTAACTACGCAAAGAGTACAGAGTGCTTATGTGATAACTTTTCATTTTGTGAAACATATCAAAGTACAAAGGCATTGATGTTGTAAGGACATTATCCCATAGGTGTTCCACCGCCACGGTCATGGTGCATTTCTGCATTGCAGTTTTGGGATATTAATGGGACTGTAAATATTTCCGATTTCAGTTCTTTCACTTCCAAGCAGCTTTAATTATTGCACAGCTACATAATAACAGTGCTCTTTTTTCTTGTGGTTGACCTGCATTCCAGCAATATGTCAGACATTTGTTACATGCTAGCTTACTTGCTTGATTACTTATATAATCTGAAAAATATGTGAGCGTGAAAATTCCAATGATGATCATGGCTATGTAATGCTAGGAGTTTCACAAACTCAACCTACGGCAGCGAGAGGATAATAAAGTACGCTTTCTCACATTTGACCATTCAAATGTCCCCTTCCACATCACAGCACTGTTTCCTATCTATCCAACCTTAGTGTTATGTAATGTGCGTTATGTGTCATTATGTGACCTTTTGACCTCCTAGAGATTCCAAGAGGCTGCCTCCCTAAGTATAAAATGCTGCTTAAGCAGCACCCGACATGCATTATGGGAATCCCTTGAGACTCTGGATGGCCTCCCACTGGTAAGTAACTCGGAACGGAGAGCGATGATGCAATCAAGCACTGGAAGTTGGCTGGCTTCAATAGGCACAATAAGTGTAGAAGAACAACAGTTTGGCTGAAGCTGCATAGGCGTCCTTATTAACATTCAGTCAATGTCTTATTGGAGACACTATACGATGTTTGTCAACAGTGAGTGCAGCCCAAAAGTAGGGCAATCTGATGGACATGTGGAATGCATTCATCTCCCTGAAAGGAATGTCTGTTCTAGACATTGTGCCAGGCACATATAGTAGGACCTCCATATCCCTATCTGAAAATAGAACACTTTAAATTGGATGCTAGGCATAAATGGTGATGGAATGGACAGTTTTAATGTTGCGCTGGCTGGACTAAAATAAGCTATTAAAAACACAAACACCTTTCATGTAGAATAAACCCTTGCAAAGACAATGGAGCCCTGTGAGAACATGGCAGGGTACATTTTTACATGAAAAGGTCATACTAAAGAACTTCAGCTTCACATGAAGTTAAAATGTAGCTTCACATGATGATATAAAAAAAAAGGAGAGGCCAAAATGCAGTGTAGGGTAAAGAAAAGCAATGTGACAAGAGTTAATTGGACACTGCATGCTCATGTTTACCGGAGATACTAAAAGAAGTAAAGTTGGTGAGTCCAGCTTTCCACGAGCAGTCAGCCCTTCGGGGCATCAGTGTTTTGCTGCAGGAGACAGTTCGGTCCATTTAAGGTGAAGAGGAGGATACAACTGTCCCACTCTGTTTATCCTGATAAATACAGCATTCACATAAAAGCCATAGACTCCTGAGACAGGGCCCTTGCATGCATTCTGAGTCCTGAAGTATTGTAAAACACACATCCTGGTGCCTTTCTAGGCATGTAACAGACATATATTTTTGCCAACAGAAAATATATTTTGTTTTAATAATGGGGTTTGCAGCAAACATGTTTTATGGCAGTAAGGACATTTAACATATATAAGGATATATTGTTTTGTTCCCAATAAAAATGTTTATTTTCTTCGTAAGAATTCATTTAGAGTCTAAAATAGATTACCTTGACATTTAAGAAGTATTTTCCAATTAAAAGCCTTATAAGATATACCCATGTCAATCTTGTGGGAAGGTGGTTCTATTTTCCATGCTTCATAAAACCCAGTGTGTCTCGCTTACACTAGGAAGGAGCTAGACAGCACCATGTAAATGCCATGAAGAACTGCAAGCCTCACAAGCATACCATAGGTGGCTAATGTATTTTTTTAACAGAGCCACGCATTGACAATTGTACTCTCTGGATTTCATGTTTCATTTATTTATACACCATGCATTATTGAGAGACAACAGAAAAAACAACAGAAAAAGACGTCTCAGTATTCTGCAGCAGCTTTCATCTACTACACACTCCACTAGGGAAAGAGGAATGGATTTTCCCTTTACATTGCTTATGGACACTGCGAAAAATACTCAAATAAACCAAGCAAACATGATCGAAATGTCAGAGTTAAGTAGTATTTGTTTCTGACATTTCAACTCTCAGTTACCTGTTTGTTCATAAAGACATAGATGACTGGGTTGTAGACAGCAGCTGTCTTGGAAAAGAAGGCAGGGATGGCAGCCATCCTGGGGTCAATATGGATGGTTGGACACGCTGTGACCAGGATGGAGAAGGCTGCGTACGGCGTCCAGCCCACCATGAAGGCCACGATCATCATCACCACCATGCGGGTCACCTGCCTCTCAGGCTTCCTGGCAGTGGCCAGACGACCATGAGACACCTGGGGGAACAGAACCACGAGAGGCTATATGTCACTGTAATTAAGACAGTCTAGAGGGGAGAAAAGTACTGATTTAAAAGCTGATACTTGTACCAAATTGTTTTATTTTATTATGCCAATAACTGAATTATCCAACTCAAATGTAATATTATATTTGGCCTTTGAAACAACTCTGAGGTTACTATTTCTTACACTTTCAACAAGTTTCGGTTTTAAAGACAGGTCACCATCTATTCATATTCAATGATATGGAGTCCACTATTTTGTTGTGGGAGTAATCTCTTGCGCAACTATGTGCTTTCATGGAATTTCGCAATGTATCAAATTGATATCATCACGTTGTAGGCTCCTGATGACGCAATATACAGAACCCCTGGGTTCTGCGCTGCAAAAAGAAGGAATGCTTCAGCTATTTTATTATGATTTCAACAGGACCATACCAACAGTAATCGCCTGTCGGAGGTCTGTATAAATAGTGTTCATTTTCCAAAACTAAAATAAAAGCTCCACAGGGAACTATGAATTTGGCTTTAAAATGTTTTTCTGCGCAGCTTGATTGTTACTGAAGTCAGGCTTTATTAACCTTTACAGCTTCTTAATGTACTGTGAGTGCATTTACAGAAAGTAACAACAAATGTGCAGCTGCCAATGAAATGGGAATTTTCTCGTTTTTAGTGCAACCTTTTATGAAATAGTTGTGATGTCAAACTTAAAAGCTCTTAAGTGTTGCCCCTTTATGCATGAACAATGAAAATGTAAGTCATTCTAGTGTAAGGGTTGGAGTTGAAAACAAACATTTCAAATGTGTCTCTTTATAGAGTAACAAATATCATCTGCAGCTTTATTTCAAAGCCAGTGTATTCACATTGAACATGGGGGTAAACATGCTGTGAAGAGAGGAGGACTGGCCAACATTAACTGATATTTCTAGGGTTAAAGGGGCCCTGTTTAGCTTTTGGGGGTGTTCCCTGTATTGTGTAATATACATTTTTGATCATGTCAATGGTCTGCAAAGCAGAAATCCAGAGGGAGTCTCTCAATCACAACAGAGCCGGCCAGTTAACCAATTAGAGAATAATGCAGAAGAATCTCTTTTCCAGTGTAGGGAGTAACGCTCTACAAAGAATAATACATCTCCCCTTCGACTTACATTGGGAAAGTGTAAATTAGCGTCTCATATTTTTTTCAGCTTAATTATCTACCAGTACAAACATCTTTATAGCCCTTATTTAAATCCATTGGGCCTTAAAGTTGTAAAATACAGTAGCTACATCTTGGACCACTGATCAACTCTCAATGAAAAGAGCCTCCCCTCCAACGCTGTATCCAGTTGTCTTAATTAATCCATGGTGAAAAGAGGTGCTGCAGCACAGGCATATGAGACAAATAAAGAGCTTTTTGAACATTAAAGCATGGAGACATTTCACAGTAGAGGCACAAAACACAAATGTGAACCTGAACATTTGCATAATAGGGCCCCTTTAAAAGCAGTCTACTGTAATTTCAATGTAGACTTTATGATTATAGTCCACTCTTAAGCACACTACTGGAGGCTGATTTCTTCCACGCTCCCCTCTGGTCTCTGCTGCTGACTTCAATTCTTCAGGCAATCACATTTTCAAACTAAAGCAATTTACCTGAATATACCCTATGGCACTTATTTGGTAATATTAGCATAATTAAGCAACCAATGTGTCAATTGGTTTATAATTTGACAATTTGAATGCATTTCACAAAATACCTCAATATGAATGAAAGTCTGAGCAGCATTTATAAACTAATGATTTCCATTCGTGTCGTGTTAGAACTCATACGGACCTTCTTGAGCTTCCGCAGGAGCTTTCCATAGCAGAAGAATATAACTCCAAGAGGAAGAATGAAGCAGGTGGCGAAGAAAGTGATGATGTAGCTGTGATCTATCATGTTGGTGGAATACCTGTGCAGAGATGGAGAATAAAGATGTTAACATTCAGATTGTGCTTCAGATATCAGTCAACAAATAGTTACATGTAGTGAATAGAGTAACGATTATTCAATTTATAGATTAGTCAATAGCCAATTAAATAATCTAGAAAATCGTTGATGGAATAATTGTTGGTTGCAGCTATAGCCTCACTTAGTGACCTATAAATAAAAATAGATATGGATGGATCAATAGAAGGGTGCAGACAGACAGAAAACAACCAAACTGTTTGTTTGACAACACTTTGTGTCTCTTTTAAGAACCAAATCCCATAATTTCCCAGTTATGAGCTGTCTGTGAAAATAGTTTGACATTCAGAGGCTTTTATCTGTCTGGAAAAAAAGATTACAGTTTTGCACCTAATTTGATCTTCAATTGAAAGGGACATTTCAAAGATGAAAAAAATATCTGGGACACAATTAGGGTGCCCAGCAATTTAGTCTAATTATGTAATTGACATGAGATTACTTACGGAAACAAGCTCTAGATGAAAGTGTAAGGAACTACCTGAAAATGTGTGTGTGTGTGTGTGTGTGTGTGTGTTTTGTGTGCCTCCATCTTAGTCATCGTAGAACCAGGGAAGTGTGGCCTGCACATGTTTGTGATGGATGGATTCACACCTCAGACCTCATGAATTTATTATCTGTCCAAATAACAAACAAAATAATTCAGGCACGTGGCCAGGGCCATGTTGTGGTTAAAAGACAATTTGTCAGGTATAACTGCACAAAATAATCCTGAATATTCAGGAAACTTGCCAATAATTAGGGGCAGTGGTGTAAAGTAAAGAGAATGTAATCAATCCTACTTAGGTACAATTTGAGAGAGTTGTACTTTACTTGAGCATTTAAATGTTTTGCTACTTTGTACTTCTACCCCACTTCAATTCAGAGGTAAATGGTGTACTTCTACTCCACTTCATGTACTTAATACCTTTAGTTACTTTACAGATGTGGATGAATGATGTGAAATATAATCAGGTCTTAAATCGGACTTTAGTTCCACCTGGAGTAAATTCACAAGCTACCCTGCAGTATACAAAGTCATTCAAACTAGCTGCACCTTTACCAGCTTTGAGAACACTTTAATGCATCAATAATTGTATCCTGAGATAAAAAGATGAGCATAAACGAGGCTTTTTGAATACATCAGGCTGTGCATGTGGCCGCAATTAGTACCTCGAACACCTGTTAGGTGTCTCGCTCCTGCTGTTTACAAGATGTTTTCTGACACATGCAGCATGCAGTCAGGGTGGAGCAGGTCATCTATGTGATGGGGGTTTCCTTATGTGATCTGTTAATTGCTTCATCTGAGAAATGGGTTCCTCACTGAACTTGAGGAGACTCTGAGCCCTCGATATTCACATCTTTGATCAATGCACCTAAATAAAATTATTCAGATAGCACCCTGAGCTCAAATCCAACCTGTGTCTTGACTTTTCCCATAAGACTCTTTCACACAGTTTCAGATAATACATCTGTCGCAGTATGATAGATATGAGCCACAGGGCAGGTGGAAAGACAATCTGTATCTCCTTGTGTGTCAGGTGTGTGGTCAGAAAGATAATTAATAAAGGGTTATGTATGGGGTAAGATTACGTGGAACCTTAGCAAAAGGTTAAAATCTGGTTTGGTTAAAAGAGTCTCAAGATGAAGCTTGTGGAGCGGATTAGGAGTTTGTTTGTTCATATTTTTCTACTAAGAATAGGTCAAATGTTCTGTATCGTAAAGGTGTCACTTGTATTGGGGAACCCACAGAGAATGGTCATCCAACACTGTAGTTACCCCCTGTTTTATGGCAGTTTCAGCCTCTTTTACGTTCTTATTGTAATGTTACAGGCTCAACTCCACTTAGATATGAGCTGATCAACCCCAAAACATCTACCGTTCAAGCTGGGATAAATCTATCTGTGATTGGCTAATGTGCTCATTGGATGGTCCACCTCTAAAATATGGAGTCGCTCAGTAGCTGCAGAGAGACAGCGGTGGAAAACTGAGTGTGGGGTTGCGATCGGATAATCCAAAAATCAGCTCCTAAATTCTAACCCTATCGTCTATCCCCTGGCCTGAGTGAAACGTCACGGGGTTAAGGGATAGTGGATAGGAGAATTCAAAAGGACTTAGGAGGAGAGATTGCAGTACTTTAGAGAATCCGACTGCACTTTCACTATCCGGCGTGTTTATGATGCACCAGCGGACGTCCTGAATGTGCGTCTGCTGCTGTGGTGAAACTATGAAAACTACAGTTTTCTATACAACGGACTACATGATGTATAATAAGAAGGAGGGACTACTGTAAACTCATCTAGAGACTCTGCACCGTGCTCTGATGCTGTTGTGTTATGCTTTATGAACGTGGACAACAGAGAAACATATTCTTCATGACCAAAGTTGGAATTGAAATAAAAAAGGAAAGTGAAACTTATGCTCTTCAACCTCTCCCTCCGGTCCACATTAATATAAATGATCCCAATGTATGATTGTATGAACTATGAAAAGATCTTAAAATAAATACAAATGTATTTATTATAAACGTTAGTCCTTAACACCTATCACTGTGTACATCACCATTCAAACATCTTTTAAAAATTGAACAAACCCCACACAGCTCAGTGAAATGTTGACTTTATTTGACAATTTCAGTAAAAACTAATGCTCATATTTCTCTTTTTGATTATAGTACTGATGAACGTTCAAAACAAAGCACTTTGGCAAGTTACCACATACGTTTTAAAATGCTTAATAAGCACCGTAACTTTCATGATATCATTTCTCAGTCATAATCGGTTGTTTCCATGAACGGCCGACTGTTGTGTGACGGCAAATGCCGCGGCTGCAAGGCATTGTGGGGCAGCATTTTCTCCTCTCCTTTCGTCAAGGGCGGTCCAGTGGTTCCTAAGCTAAAGGAGGTTATAAAGGAAGTTTGAAACCTCCTTTCCTATCATCTAGAGAACGGCACTTATCATGGCTGCCACTGAGGCACTTCCGGGTCATTTCACTTCGTTAGGAAAGGTTCCTAAGCTAAATGGACTATTCGCTTAGCCCTGGATTCTATGAGTGCAACCACTGCCAAGATGGAGGTGGAAGCAAGCTAGCCTCAACTAGCTTATAGGCAAGACCAGCCCACTACACCAGTTGCCTTTTCCTTCCCTTTTTTTAAGCCGGCCACCTCCCCTTTTTGACGCCACCCCTGAGCAAAAATGACTTTCCCCCGCGGCTAGTGCGGCGGGGGCTTCCAAACACGTTTCCCATCCACTGGTTTCATACAAGCCACTAAATTAGATGTTTTCCACCAAATAACGGTTGAACTGAACACTTCCCCCATATAATTTTGTAAGTAGATTCGAAGATACATAGTTTCATGGACTGCCCCGCAAGCTTGAAGCCCTTGGGTTTGCTAGGTTACTAGCTGGGTGGTCCTCCAAATAAGGGGCCGGGGAAACAAAGGTTAGTGGGATCTGTTCATGGTGATTTTAATTCAATACCAAATTGTTGGGGGGAACTGAAAGCTATTACCCCTACTTGGTACTTTGTAGCCCGGTACATTTCCCCCAAAAACCCACATTTTAGACCGCCCTATCGCCAAACAGCAGAGTACTTTCCCAAATCTGATCATTTTTAAGACCTTATAAATCATATTTAAGACCTTTCCATTAATTTTTTGGTCCATATAAAGGACCTTTTTTAAGGCCTTACATTCCAGATTAAATTCAAATGAAAAAGACTTTTTCATAGACCCCGCGGGAACCTGAGGAGACTAATAGGCACAATTATATGCGACAACAGACGGTGGTTTCAGAAACACACAGAAATATTAGAAAATACCCTTAAGGAACATCTAGTTTGAATGGGATGCCCTGTCCAAAACTCAACTACAAATAATGTGTGTTGTGTGGTCGTGTTTGTGGGTGTGTGGGGTGGTGGTGCCTGGCTCGTGCGGTGTGTTGTGTGTTGTGTGTGTGTGGTGGTGCCCCTTTGTGTGGGTGGTGTGGTCCGTGTGGTGCGCGCTCGGCGTGTCGCGTGTGGTGCCCTGAGGCGTGGCTGCGCGCCTGTGTGTGTCGTCCTTGTTTGTTGTGTGTGCCGGCGTTTGACGGCACATAGTGGTCTGTCCCGCGGCGTCCGTTTTGGGAACGGTGCAGCCAGGTGGGGAAACAAAAGACAGCACTTTAACCCCTTCTTCGTCATCCAGGCTTAGTCCACACACAGTTTTTACAATCACACTCCCTGTAATTTGGACATAATTAATAGGATAGTTTAGCTTCTCACCATCATTGCTGTGGCCCACTGATGTTAACGATCGTAACTGGAAAAAGGCTGCCTGTCAAACGTAAACATTCGGCCACGTGGACCTCGCAAACCTCACGAGAGTTACACAAACGGATCCTATTCCTAGCCATAACTCTGCACCGGTTGCGCTGACATTGGCCGCCCGTGATCATCAGATTTGACGACGCTGGATTGTAGGGGTGTCCACGGGGTGAAATTCCCGGCTCACGTTATTGTGAACCAAAATTACCACGGTTACAGATATTATCTCGGTAATTTTTTTTTTTTTAGTGTTAACATTAAGTGAACATTAAGAGTAAGTTTAGGTTAATTAGGCAAGAAGCCAGTACTGTATGGAACAAACTGGTTTAGCGGCCTTACAATGGGTTATAGTCAAGCTACCAACGACATAGAAGCATGGCCGAAGTAGGATGTTTTAAAATGCTAGCAGTGGGGCCGGTGCCTCTTACCCTGACCATTAATATCAAGGGTTTAACATTTAGACAATCGGGTATCGTTTCATTTATCCTTGACCAAAGTCAGAAGTAACTTATCATTAATGGTGTTCACCATTGCACTATTTTCCCACTGTCCCTCATGGCATGAATCAAAGTTAGCTTTCCAACATTAGCTTAGAATGCCCGTTTAGCCGCCGACTAAGAATGGGTGGAACACACGAGAGCAGTGTGGGCATTTGCTAAGTAATGGTAAATGATTATTATCAAGATTTAACTATTATTGACAGTCGGATAGAATGTAACATTTCCCCTTTAACCCCGAAGGGCAAAAGTTATTTCGAGCATTTTCAGCTAAAACTATGTGTTATTTAACAAATATACCGCACTGGGGCTGTGCAGCTGCGGGTTGGGATGGCTCCCGTAAAGATGAAGTGGCAAATTTCCGATGTGTTGCTCTTTCGGGATACCTTTCCCCCGCGGCATGGTTCATGCACACGGGGCACCCATCCTCCACAGTTGCCCCCCCCCTCGGGAGGGTTTTTTAAATAATCCAAAGTAGGACCACACTTTGATCTTCTGCGCTTAGAAGGTGGGAAAAATTGGTAACCATCGCGGCTTTCCCCTTCTTCTGCTGCCATGGGCTTAAAGTGAGAGAGTGTGGATAAAAGAACCTAGGACTAGTGGGCGACTGCGAACGTTCGTTCACGTTGTGGTGAGAGGTCTGGTAACGCACCATAGAAACTTATGTTTTTTTGAAATGCCAAAGTATTCAGCGGTAACAGTGTAATACAGGTACCTGGGGAGTATTAAGGGAAATGAAAGCTCCCCGGTGGTAACGGTGTGCGTAATTTAACCCACCGACCATAACACCCGTGTTTTGGGAAATTTCGAAGGGTTATCCTCACCCCGTCAAAAATTTAGCGCGGTTACCGTCTCCACGGTAACACGGTGACCACCCCCTAGCCTGATTGGGGCCCCTGAAATTATGTTTCCGGAGCCATAGCTTACAGATAGCACAGTCAGCTGCTAGTGGTCTGCTGGCTGCACTGGTTGAGGGCTCCTTCTAGCGCCCAGACGAGAGAGGGTAATGATCACGGTCAAGGCAGGCAGGAAACATGTGCTTATCAGTAACTTTAGACCAATCGTAACACATTTTAAAACCGAGATTTTATTGTAGATTAATACATTACTGATACAATTATATAATATTAACCTTGTTCATTAAAAATTAAAATAAAATATTTTAAATTAAAATATTAAAATAATTTTTTTTAATTTATTTTTATTTAATTGGTATGGTGAAGAAGTGGGCTGCCGCCCTAGCGCCCCTATGGGTCCGGCCGCCACTGGGTAAACAGACTGTGGGTCAAGCCAGGCCGCCACCTTCGAAAACACAGTCCAAGCCCAGCCCCGCAACGTTGTAATTGGCTGGTGCCCCGGTGAATATCCTATGGCCAGTACGGTAGAGGCCTGGAAAACTGCCTTCTAAAATAAAAGCCGCATTACTCGGTAATAACAAATATACTAAAAAACCACCCACCAAACCATATTCCATATATTACCCTGGAGCTTAAAATTAAGAATATGTACATATATATGTGATCAATAATAATTTAAAACAAATACGTAAACTACCCATTAATAACTGAGTGAATGTAAAATGTAAGTAGGCCCCCTTATACAAGTTATGAAGACATATCCCTGGAACATTTTCCACTGGGGTGGACTATTTAAAATGTATGTGTTAAATCTCCAAATTAGATTCCTATTGGTTCCATCTATATTTGATTATTATTTAAATGGAAACCCTCCATAATGAAAGATCCATTCGGAAGGTAAATGACATCTTATTCACTCACAGCCCATCTAGTCAATCCAAGGAAAAACAGGACAATCCTGATGTAGAATTTCAAAATACAAATACTTTTGAAATCTCATATATGGGCTATCGTCCCTTTCTGTTTTTTATACAAGAATGAATAAAAAACTATCCCGGTAATCCAAAGGACGTTATTTCAACTTCAGGGTGTAGCGGAACCCACCCCCAATCTAATTCAC